TTAGAGTACTTACTCTTTTTTTACGTGACACGTGATTGGTTAAAAAAATTCTCCGTGATGTGGTGTGATTGAGACCCACCTTTACCACCCTCAATTTAGGGATACTGGGTCTGACTGATCGGATGAAAATTGAAAATCCGAAGTTAGTTTTACTCTAATCAACAAAAACAAAAAAGTGATTGAATGATAAACCCTCATAGTCAATTGAAAACCATTTTTAAACATGTAAGACTTGAGATACACAAGTTCTATATAAAATATTTATCGATTTTAGATCTTTAATTTTATTTAAAGGTTGATTATTAGTTGATAATAACCCTAAAATATCTCGGTAGCTGTTTTTCACATTATGTCAACCTATAAGCGAAAGCAATTTGTGCCTAAACTCCCCTCACCCTAAGAAAACTTAACGCTCACAAAAATGGGGTCTTTACCACACAGCTTTCAAAGTTACATTACACCAAAGCACCTAAATTCTTATAACCACAATATCGCATGTGATAAAATTTACTTGTCTTGATATAATTGTCAGTTTATTTGGGCTACAGCGTAAAAAGGTAAGCTGGTATCGCAATATTGTAATATGATGACGACATTTGGAAACATTCAAGTATTCTTGCTCTTATATAATTTGCTGAAAATTACACATGACCACCGTCAATATCACAGATTTGTCTGAGTCGTAAAGTTTTTTTAATGCATCTGCACAGCTCCTACGATAAGGTACATCGCCCAGAATGCTGTTGTCTTTCGCGACATGTACTTGCAGTGCCCATTTAATCAGCAGGCATCATAATAATTTGCATATCCTGAACTAGTCGGTCATGATTGGTCAGCAGGTATAGCTTTAAGAATACATGAGTCTCTTAGCAGATTTCAGCTGCTGTCAATCAAACGGTTGGATGCGTAAAGTAAATCTCAAGGTGACATAAAGTGAACAATAGCAATAATTGACAATAGCCACGCTCTAAAGCGTTTAGCAAATTCGTTTGCAGCGAATTCTTCTGTAGACTGACAGACTCCCGTTGGTCAAAATGTTATCGGAATTATAAAAATTAATATCATGAAAATAGAAAATAGAAAAATTTAGAAAATACTATGCTGAAGAATAGGCGGTTTAAAAAGCGTTACTTGCGATCAGGCGGTTTTCGAGTGCGAAAGGCTTGCGGTTGCGGACTGACAAGAAAAAAACGCCTGATTGAAGGTTATAAAAAGCGGTGCTCAGAAAGCCAGCTAGTCTGTGGTCAAGTGAAATTTTAATTTCATTCAATCTTTGTCTTAAATGTGGTTTTGGCGTGCCCCTGTATCAAAGAGAATAAGGAGCGCGAAAAAAAATGGCCTAACCACAGTTCTATAGCGAGCGCGATGCGTGAGTCACTCGCTTTTACTGGACATTTGTGTTGTCATACTCCACTGAAAAATTTTGGTAGCTAAACAGGGTTTTTTTTTCCTTGTTTAGCCATCAAGGAGAAGAGTTACGCGATGACAAAAAAAAAGACAACAACAACAATTGCAAAAGAGACTACGGTGGAACCTGTTAATGCGGCCATCAACGGGCAATGGAAATCTATCCGTATTGACGGGAGTAAAAGCATATCACTCACTTGTACTTCACACTCGCGCTCTTTTACTCCACCGATTAACGCAGTCCGACCAAACAGAAGAAAAAACGAGCAAACTAACCAACAAACGGCCGCCACGAACAGGTTGACGGCCGAGGGAACAGTTACATAATTATTCACAGTTGGATCCATTTTGATTAATCAAAACATGTATATAAATAGTACGGTTTCATTCAATCCAATCAGTTGCTAAAACTTATTTGCAACAACATCTCGAAGCGTGCGAGACATCAGCCAGGCTTTTACGCAACATTATTGAATGATGTCCGCCATGGGGCGGTGGCTTTAATTCGAAATAACGACCGAAGGTAAAACCTACTGTTATGGGTGTTTACGAAGTTGAACGTATTGTAGCAAAACGATTTCAAGGAGGCAGAGCAGAGTACTTCATCCAATGGCAAAGCTACTCCCCGAGTGAAAATACGTGGGAACCAGCCGAGCACTTACCGGAAGAACTCATCACTGCCTTCGAGAACAGATCTGTCGATCCATTTCGCGTCGATGAATACCATCTTATTGCCCCCGTTCTCTATTTATTGCGAGCAAGCGTTTGTGTATTTTTAATTTATAACTTAGGGTCCTTTCTGTTTTCAGATACCTGGACCGCTTAGCTGATTCCCTTAGGCAAAAACTTGAAGTCTCAGAAAAATTAGTAACGTCCATTAAAGTGATGGCTGATAAACGACAGGCGGCCACCATAGAACAGAGAGACTTGGAACCTAAACTTGAAATTATTAGAACTAAAACAAGAGAACTTCAAGAACAGGTAAGACAGCTAAGTTTTTACTTTCAGTAGAATCTGTTGTGTTGTGTCGGCAGGCAGGGAAAGCACGAAGTTTGTTATCAATTTGGAAAAAAAAAGCCGTACACTTGTTGAGTTTCGACAATTTGACGTTTCGAGCAGTAGCTTGAATCGTCTGCCGGTGCAAAGGACTAAATGCTAGCGTGCGCTAACCCTTCGAAAGTCATAATTTGTCATTTGATTATTTGTTTGTTGCAGGACTACGGCCATCATGAGCTACTTATGACACATAACGCCTTGGGAGAGTAATAGGCCAGGTCTTATTTCAGAAGACAGGAGTTAAAAAGCTTTTAGTAAATATGTGCATCTCGAGTATAGACATGTTCCACAAGTTTGCGTGAAGGTCCTGCGTGTCACCTGCTCTGAGATGTCTCTGACTTCTGCCACACTCTGAAAGTTGAAAGGAAGTGAAGGAAACAGAAGTCCTGGTAATATACCAACCCTTACTCGTAACAGTCTATTCTGTGGCCAATTGTCGATACCAAGGCCGAAAGAGCCATTGCGAGACCTGATAAACTAGTTTCATCATATATTGTGTAAAATATGTATCTTGCCGCCTTTTCAACCATGTCGTTATCATTATCCATTTTCCTCTTTCAGATTTCTTAAGAAATCTCCGAGAAATACAAGAACAGGCCGGTGAATGTTATGGGTAAAATCAACACTATTTAGAAACAGGCTGTTTATTTCATGTTTACTGTGTTGTCTTTTTTGGCCCATGGGAGGGGGAAACAGTTGTCGGTGTTTAAATTTAGGTTAAATTTGATACAACTACAGCAGTGTCAAAAAAACGCTTAAAATAATTTTGTCATTCATTTCGTTAAATTCGCGGTAGTTATAGGTCGCCCAGTCTCTTACGTTCAGAGAATGGCTGCGAAGGAGACTGAAAGTAACCCATCTTCTTGCTAGTTATTGTGCCCTTTTGAAGATAGCCAATTGCAAAGGAATTTCGCTGGGACACTACAGAAGTCTCAACACTACAATCAGAGCTCTGACAAAACAACAACAAAACAACTATCAATGGCGAATAAAAATCAGTTTATTGACTACAATCAACCGTGGTTATCCGCATGTTACCATAGTGACTTAAATTAAGGTTATGAACAAGTACTATTCTGTCAACACTAAAAACTGAGAGATCCTTTCTATAACTCCTACAAAGCAATTCTCTAAGATTTTTTACATGAAAATTTTCAAAAACGTTTAATTTCTAGTCGTTATCAAGCACAAACGTCCTTTCTCTGTGTGCCAATTATAGCATTCTCTTCCACTTTAGTGAAAGAGCACAAGAGCTTTCTGAAAAACTGTTCTAAATGTTGACATAAAAATAACAATCTAACAACTAGGTAAGATTTTGCGTAAAATTGAACGTGCCATCACCTTGGTATGTATAATTGCTCTTGTACCCTGCATTATGGAACAAGAAACAGATCTGGAATTATTCATCCTGACCACTGAGACGATGACTGAGTCTCGTTTTTTTTTTACGTTTTCCAATTGATTGGAAATCGTAACACTACATTTAGCATTTAACATGGGAATTTTGGTGATAGTAACCAAGAACGCCATACGTAACACAAACCAAACCCCTATTTTTGAGGATAATTTACAACCAGCGCCAATGGTAGAGGAAATTCAGTCGGCCCAAAGGGCGGAAAAACAAAGAAAGTGGGCCTAACTGGTCGTATGAAAATTGAAAATTGAGTTTAGTTTTGAGCTGATCAAGGAAAAAAAGGGATTCCATAATAAACTTTCTTGGTCAACTGAAAATCATTTTTAGATATATGTAATACCGTATTCCTCGAATAACCACCAACGCTTCAACGAGCCTCCTCCCCCAATAAGCGGCCAGCCCCTAGCCCCTAAAATCAAACAAGCGCTCCCCTCCTTTTTTCTCATTTTGTCAAACAGTTTGGATACGAGGAAAACCTGTGTCTGTTTATTTCGTATGTAACTTTTTAAGCTTCTGCTAGAATAGTTTCTTAATAAGCACCCCCCCCCCCCTTAAGCTTAGATTTTAACTAAGAGCCCGGGGATTATTCGAGGAAATAGGTGATTGAAATGCACAAAAATATGAAGAACTGACCTACAACTTTTTTCTGTGCACGTTAACAAGAGTTGCTATGTGCTCTTCATTGGAGAAATGTAATATTTACCCAACCATGACCAGCGCTATTATTGCAACATTCATTTTGTTGATTTGTTCCATTGTTAAAAGATCCTCCCCCTCCTCCACAGGAAATATCCTCATTAATCCCGCCACTTCCCCCAGTGTAACCACCACCACCGCCGAGTCCTTTGTGGAATATAAGTAAACCACCGCCACCTCCGAACCCACCATAAAACTTACCACCCTCTCCCCCCTGAAGATATCCTGAACCTCCTTTTCCCCCTCCTTTAATAGAGCTCGTTGCGTTATGTCCATTACTATGGAAGCCGCCACCACCACCACCTGCAATACAATCAAAAAGTGATCGGTGATTCTCTTACAAATAGCACCCATAAATTTAATTTCTCGCGATCAAACGACGATCCGCGGTGTTCCGAAACTTAGTTTAGTTCTTTATTTTTAAAGTTTAATTAGTGGAGATTGTTAGTAACAAAAAAGCTCGCGAGGAAAAGTCAGCGAAAAAATGCTGCAATTGACTCTTTATTTATTTAGTTCTTCTGTTTAATCCAGATCTGCAGTTAACGAATGAGAAGCCTTGTCAAGTTTTTCGGTGTCATCTCCTGCGTTATATTTGCGGATCCATAATTCATTCGATAATTCACTAAATATGCAGGAGATTTGAAAAGAAAAGAGCAAAATTTAACAAAATCCTAAGTCTTGTATAAGGCGCTTCAAAAGAATTATATAAAAAAATCTTCAAAATTGGTATTGAAAAAATTTAATAATAACTGTTTTTATAAATCCTTCAAAATCTGATTATCAGCGACTTACTCTATCATTGGGTTGGAGATAGTGAAGGATGGCAATAGAATGCAACAAATTTCTCAGTATTTATAAAAAGGAAATTCTCCACCAACCAGAATTCACACCATTAGTAAGTCCTCCTTGTCCTTCTATTCCAGCTGACCCCAGTGGCGAGTTGTTCCCTGCATTCCCTGTGGTGTTTATGGACGCATCACATGCCGAATGTTGTTCTGACATATTTTTGATTCCCCCTCCACCTCCAGCTATGATTAAAGGCGTGTTGTTTCGTCTCACAACAAATGTACCTCCACCACCTCCAGCACTTTTTAAGTTTTTCTTCCCTTTTCTCCCTTCTTGACCAACAAGTATATGAATGATCTCATCTTTGGTCAAAATAAAGTTTCCAATCATTCGTGCCCCTCTTCCACCGTTCTTGATGATACTGTCCTCACCGTACCCCCCTGAAGCTCCTATTGCTTCAATTCTGTATTCGCCAGTGTGTGGCACAGTCCATTGCTGAATACCGCTAGACAATGTAACTTGCCCGTCATGATACTGACCAGCGTAATGACCTCCAATTTAGACTGGACCCATACGTCCACTCTTACCAAGAGTTGTAAACACTGCGGTAAACCCTGTATAATAATCGCAAATTCAAATTGTTTTGGGTACTGACGATTTTGCACACTACCGCTTAGAGAAAATATTCCTGTAAATTCAGCAGAATAAGATAACGATGCAAAAAGGAAACTGGGGAATTTACCAAGCTGCATAGCTTTCAACGCTGCAAAATGCAAATCCGTTCACACCTTTAAGAAGAAAACTCCTGGTTGGCCTTGATGGACAGCGCTCGAGTGTGTACCTTAAGCTTAAGACATAAGTATCACTGATTCCCGTGATCTCCAATGGACAGAGCATGAAGACGAAATCACCTCAAAGGCCAACAAAACCCTTCGCAAATCAGGCGAGTTTGCCACGATGTCAATGACATTTAGATAAGGAAGCTGCTGTGCTGTCCTGTGGTCAAACCCAAACTTGAATAATGCTCCTGCCTATGGTCTCCTTATACCATCATACATGGAGCATTAATTGAGAACATCTAAAGGTGTCCAACTAAGTTTATTCTTAACTACCCACCGAGTAACGTCTCTTATGCTAATGAGCTCGTACTGCTGAGCCTGCTGCCGGTAGAATACCGTACAGAAATTAGGGACATTATACTCTTGTACAAGTTTAAGTCTGGTGCTATCTCCATCATCAATAAGGAGATATAAGATAGAATGATAAAATAACAGTTACCTGTACATCTGGTTCCATTTCCACGAAATCCATCTTTACACTTGCAGTTGTACGATCCCCGGGTATTGTTACACTCAGCATTCACATCACAGTTGTGTGTTCCGTCAGCACATTCGTCCAAGTCTAGAGAATTAAAAAAGAAGCATCTTTTATACGGAACCTGTTTTTATTTTGTTATCTTGTGTTTTGTGGTTTTATTGTTTTCTCGTTTGTTTGCTTTAGTAGATTTTTGGGATGTTATAGTCAGCTACTTTATTCTAATTTTCTCGTTACCATGTTCCCGTCAATACCGTAACTCCATACTCCGCATGTAAACAGACACACAACCCACAATTCCCCCATTTGCTCTGTCGAAGGACTAGCGCTCGAAACTTCAGATTTTAAACTCGCAACAGTGGCCTATTTTACGTCATCAACTCACTTGATAAAACTAAATGACCTTTGCAGTTAGTTCCATTTCCATGAAATCCATCTTCACAGATGCACTTGTAAAATCTCCGTATATTGTTACACCCCGCATTCTCATCACAGCAGTTTGTTTCACTAGAACACTCATCTATGTCTGAGACAACAAAATGAGTGCCACATTTATATAAGGGTTTGTGTGTATTTGACGTGCTCTGGCCGCAAGTGTTTTCGCCTCCATGCTAGCGTTCCCCGTTGTCAGATAAGAAATGGTCACACATTCATTTTACTGACTGCAAAAAATTTTAGAGGATCCCTCACCTCTATCACAATCGTGACCTTCAAATCCAGATCCAAAAGCACACAAACATTGATAATCTCTGTGTGTATAGCCAGCTTGGCATGTTGCATTATTTCTGCAAGGATTACTGGCGCAACCATTCTTAAGAAGAAAAAGAATATGACCACTTCAATTTTTGTGCTTGTCTTTTGCACGTGTATTCATGTTTGCGAGTTCTGAATGTTATGCATGTTTGTGAAATCTACGCGTCTTCCCTGATGTCCATGTATTTCGCGCAAGCTTTTTTGTTATTTACGCAATTGTTTGTGTTGAGCACATTTGTTCCCGTCTCAAGTGGGGCACTGTTCAGAGCGAGAGCAAAATCTCCGTGTATCTTATAAATGTATAAAAAAGCTCCAGAACCGGTCATTCTCAAATAACAAAGTATGCCTCTCTTAATTCTTTATTTCAACATTTTAAACGTTCAATTATCGTAACCTATATTCTGGTGGGTGGAAGGAGAATTTAGAGGAGTGGCAGAGGTCGAGGGATGCTTAGTCTTAGTCTTGTAAAAAGGCCTCAACGAATATAAATTCTCATACTCTTGACTTATAAACGTCATCCTCACCTCAGCTCCGTGGTAAATGTAACTTTCGTTTTTTACCAGTTCTCCATCGTGTTCAATGGTCGCGTTATTCAGATCACACTTGTGTGTTCCAGACGCCTGTCTTAGCTTATGGAAGTTATAACTGACACAGTTAGGTTCCAGATAGCATTGTAACCTGCAGAGATCCTCGTCGAATACTTTAATAGTTCGAACCGTGTGATTCTCCAACCTGTATCCAGGTTTAGGAAAACTGGTAAACTTCAAATTGCGGCAGTTGCCTGCTGAACAATTATATGAAGAAAGTTGCTATGTCACATTGAGCCCCTCTGCTGAGACTGGAATTGTAGAACAGTGTTACTGATGACTTTTTGCTTTGGTTTAGCGCCAAGAGAGTGATTTATATTAATAATCTGACTTATCATGTTATCTGCCTTTGGTTGCGATCAGCTATCGTGATCGAACGATTGTTGCACAAATCCATAAAGACCTTTTTTGTTACATAGAGTGAATCGTGTTTATCACGTGATAATGGTCCTCTCGTCTGAGCATGCTTGGTTCTTTAAAAAAGGGTTATTATCGGAAGTTTTTATTGTGTCAATTCATGAGAGGCGGTTGTTGTTATGTCGCGTGACTTCAGCTTTCGACCAAACTGCGTATCAATTATGAAAAGCGCAAGAAAACAAAAATTAGTCACTCACGCAAAACTCATGAGCTTCTTAACTTTATCAACTCCATGGTACGCAATTTAGGTCCTGGCTTTCTACTTCTATGGATGTAACAAAAGTTTTCACTGCATACTGTGCATTAACGATCACTAAAAGGCGAAACGCTGAAATTCATTCTTGAGCATGCACACCATAAGGGCCCAATTGCGGACGATATGAGGAAAAAATCCTGAACTGTTAACTGTCGTCTTTGTTAATCAAATCTTTTGTTTGAACCACCTTTTTTTTTCTCAAGCTAAGTAAGAACTTCCTTTCTGCGGTGGATCATAAATAATATATGCCATAGTTCTACCAACTCGCTCGAATACACGAATTCAGTCTTCGATTTAGGTTTTTTCAAATATCAACAGATAACACGATTAAGTGCGTTATGTTGCTCGCTGTGACAAACTAAAAGGTTTCTTTACCAAGAATTTAAAAGCTTTACTCCAGTGTAAAGTTTTAAGTTTAACAAGACAAGCCATTTTGGTTGAGTTTAGATGAGCCTCTCAACTCATCCATCGCGCATGATCAAAAAAGTCGAACACGTCTCTAGACTTCTATTCATTGAAGAGACAGTGACTGTTTTTCTTTTCTAAAGTTAACTTTGCTTTAAGATACTCCAATAAGCGCCCCTCCTTTTTGAATTAAGATGAAATAATTAATTATATTTGATATTAGTTGGAGAAGCTTATGCGATTACTTTAAGATTCAGTTGTTGTAAACAAAAAAAATATATGAAATGAAAAAATAATTTGTCGCCTTGGTAAACATTGAAATATACTCAAACCATAACAAAGTCATAACTGTGGTAAAATCTTACCTTGTCCTTTCGGTATTAGGGAGGCCAAAACAATGAGAACGAAGTAGTAGAGTACAGAGAGCATGTTCTCAGAAAACAACAGCTATAACTCTAGCGAACAGCCATAGTGAATTTTTCAAACATGGGGGAAACATCACGCAAAATATGACAGCTCAAGTTTGATCTCCGTTGAAATACTCTACTCCTTTATTATTTATGAGGTTCTCAGTTGTTTTCGTACTTGAATTAGTTACTTTGGGATTTAGTTGGTTGATAAAACTCGATTATACATAATGCAGGCAAATTTTTTATAATGCAAAACATTTCTTAGGAAATTGGACCTATGCCTATCGACGAAACGAGTAATTAGCCATATCGATCTTTGATGAAGAGTTTTTTTTAAATATAATCACCCGCAGCCATCTCAGCCAATATTACAGTGTGCTTCCGTTCTGGAAAAGAGTCACTCGAGATGAATGATTGACATTTTTTTAAAGTGTGTGTCAATTATTTTAAGATCTTGTGACTGCTCCGTCCAATTAGAAATTGTGTTGGAAATCCTTGAAACATAAATTTTAGGAGTGAAAGAAATCGGAGAGGTGAGTGTTTGAGAATCAATCGAGGGCTTTAAAACATTTGAACAATTGATCAATGACTCTTACCACACTAACTGAGTTCGAAGAGCGCTCGCTTAAAACTGGTGCTCAGGTTCTTTTTCCTTGTCATTATCCGTCATCTTTTAAGCGGATTACCGTTATCCTTTCTATTCCAGATGCCCGTGCAATGTGCAATCTGCTTCATGCGAAAAAAAAGATCTTAAGTGCGAAAATTGAGTCGGGCCAAAGACCAGAATTAAGAGGGTGGGAAAAGTTATTTGCGTGACGCGTGATGGCTCCAAAATTTGCAGTGTGACGCGTGATTGAACCAAATTATCCGCGTGACGCAGGACTGGACATCAAGCGCGTGATGCGTGATTTACAAGACTTCTTATTAAAATTCCGTGATAACTGAACCTAGAAGGATACCAATCATCAAAAGTAAATAGGGTCTTAACGAAGATCAATAAACGTGGCAGCCGTGTCATTGTTTTCTGGTTTTTTCAGTTCTTTTCAAATTAGCAAAGTTCATACTAGTTCTCGCGGGATGACTAGTGAGCCATATATGAGTTCAAACTACGAAAACATTGTCAAAACTACGACTACTGACTTATTGAACAACAAACTATGATGACTATAGGATGCCCAGACGTGTAAACGCTCTTAGAACGTCTACTTTCAACAAGTAAGTCGTTTTTATTTGTCAAACAAAAAGCAATATGACAAGTGAGATGCAATTCATTCCAGGGCAAAAAACGGTAGATGTAAGATAATTTTTGATAACACATCCAATAGGTTGAAATCTTACATTATTAGCTTAGCGTACTTACTCTTTTTTAAGTGACGTGTGATTGGTTAAAAAAATTCTCCGTGGTGTTGTGTGATTGAAACCCACCTTCGCCACCCTCAATTAAGGGATACTGGGTCTGACTGATCGTATGAAAATTGAAAATCCGAAGTTAGTTTTACTCTAATCAACAAAAACAAAAAAGTGATTGAATGATAAACCCTCATAGTCAATTGAAAACCATTTTTAAACATGTAAGACTTGAGATACACAAGTTCTATATAAAATATTTATCGATTCTAAATCCTTTCATTTTATTTCATGATTGATTATCAGTGGATAATAACCCTAAAATATCTCGGTAGCTGTTTTTCACATTATGTCAACCTATAAGCGAAAGCAATTTGTGTCTAAAATACCCCTCACCCTAAGAAAACTTAACGCTCACAAAAACGGGGTCTTTACCACACAGCTTTCAAAGTTACATTACACCAAAGCACCTAAATTCTTATAACCACAAGATAGCACGTGATAAAAGTTATTTGTCTTGATGTAATTTTCAGTTTATTTGGGCTACAGCGTAAAAAGGTAAGTTGCTTTCTGAATCAGATGTTCGGAATTCCGAGCCAAATTTCCAGGATCCACTCTTAAATATTGCAATATGATGACGAAATTTGGTAACATTCAAGTATTCTTGCTCTCTTATTTGCTGAAAATTACACATGACCACCGTCAATGTCACAGATTTGTCTGAGTCGTAAAGTTTTTTTAATGCATCTGCACAGCTCCTACGATAAGGCAGCTATCTTATTGCCACTGTTCTCTATTTATTGCGAGCAAGCGTTTGTGTATTTTAATTTATAACTTATGGTCCTTTCTGTTTTCAGATACCTGGACCGCTTAACTGATTCCCTTCAGCAAAAACTTTAAGTCGCAGAAAAATTAGTAACGTCCATTAAGTGTGTAAAGTGATGGCTGATAAACGACAGGCGGCCACCATAGAACAGAGAGACTTGAAACCTAAACTTGAAATTATCAGGACTAAAACATGCGTGCGCTAACCCTTCGAAAGTCATGATTTGTCCTTTGATTATTTGTTTGTTGCAGGACTACGGCCATTATGAGCTACTTATGACACATAACGCCTTGGGAAAGTAATGGGCCAGGTCTTATTTCAGAAGACAGGAGTTAAAAAGCTTTTAGTAAATATGTGCATCTCGAGTATAGAAATGTTCCACAAGTTTGCGTGAAGTTCCAGCGTGTCACCTGTTCTGAGATGCGTCTGACTTCTGCCTTACTCTGAAAGTGGAAAGGAAGTGAAGGAAACAGAAGTCCTGGTAATATACCAACCCCTACCCGTGACAGTCTATTCTGTGGCCAATTGTCGATACCAAGGCCGAAAGAGCCATTACGAGACCTGATAAACTAGCTTCATCATATATTATGTAAAATATGTATCTTGCCGCCTTTTCAACCACGTCTCTATCGTTATCCATTTTCCACTTTCAGATTTCTCAGGAAATCTCCAAGAAATACAAGAACAGGTCGGTGAATATTATGAGTGAAATAAACACTATCAAGAACAGGCTGTTTATTTCATGTTTACTGTGTTGTCGTTTTTGGCCCATGGGAGGGGGAAACAGTCGTCGGTGTTTAAATTTAAGTTACTTCTCGCTTGTTATTGTGCCCTTTTGAAGATAGCCAACTGCAAAGGAATTTCGCTGGGACACTACAGAACTCTCAACACTATAATCAGAGTTCTGACAAAACAACAACAAAACAACAACAAAACAACTATCAATGGCGAAAAAAAATCAGTTTATTGACTAAAATCAACAGTGGTTATCAACATGTTACCATAGTGACTTAAATTAAGGTTATGAGCAAGTACTATTCTGTCAACACTAAAAACTGAGAGATCCTTTCTACTCTTGCAAAGCAATTTTCTAGGATTTTTTACATGAAATTTTCAAAACATTTAATTTCTAGTCGTTATCAAGCACAAACGTCCCTTCTCAGTGTGCCAATTACAGCATTCTCTTCCACTTTAGTGAAAGAGCACAAGGGCCTTCTGAAAAACTATTCAAAATGTTGACATAAAAACAACAATCTAACAACTAAGTAAGACTTTGCGTAAAATTGAACGCGCCATCACCTTGGTATATATAACTGCTCGTGTACCCAGCATTATGGAAAAGGAAACAGATCTGGAATTATTCATCCTGACCACTGAAACGATGACTGAGTCTCGTTTTAGAACGCCGCAAACTCAAACTCGGTTAACTCGAGCGTATTTCATGTATTTCAGTCATCTCTATCTGTAGAACTCAACATTAATCATGGTCACATCTACAAGTTGGTATCAACCCTGCGCCGGTTTTCCATTTTCCAGG